TTCAGGGGCAACAACCCAACAACTTGTTGTCTGATTCGTCTGAAAAATTCAGGGCAGATAGAAATTAACCTGATGAAAATTTTAACACCTGTCAGATTTGCTCTAAATGCTTTAGTGTCAGAGATATAAGCCAAAAACTGCATTTTACCCCTATGTTCTATTTTTAGCTATGGTGGCCATGTTGGTTGGTAAGCAGGGTCATCGGACACATTTTAAAAACTAAATACCCTAATGATGATTGTGGCCAAGTTTTATTCTATTTGGCCCAGCAGTTTCAGAGGAGAAGATTTTTGTAAAAGATTACATATATTTACGAAAAATTGTTAAAAATTGTCTACAAAGGGCAATAACTCCTTAAGTGGTCAATTGAAAATTTTGATCATGTTATCTTATTTGTTGATCTTACTTTGCTGAACATTATTGCTGTTACAGTTTATCTTTATCTATTATAATATTCAAGATAATTTCCAAAAACTGCAAAATTTCCTTAAAATTACAAATTCAGGGGCAGTAACCCAACAACGGGTTGTCTGATTCATCTGAAAATTTCAGGGCAGATAGATCTTAACCTGATGAACATCTTTACCCCCTGTCAGATTTGCTCTAAATGCTTTAGTTTCAGAGATATAAGACAAAAACTGCATTTTACCCCTATGTTTTATTTTTTTAGCCATGTCGGCCATTTTGGTTGGCAGGGGGGGTCATCTGACACATTTTATAAACTAGATACCCTAATGATGATTGTGGCCAAGTTTGATTAAATTTGGCCAAACAGTTTCAAAGGAGAAGATTTTTGTAAAAGTTAACGACGACGACGGGCCAGGTGAGCTAAAAAGGTCAATGTCAGATGAAACCTGACAGACGGAGATATACACCTTACAATCATTCAAAACACCAAATACAGCTGATCTATTGCTTAAAGTGTCTGAAAAATAGACCAAACTGGAAAAACTTAACATTGTCCAATGTACCATTAAATAGGTTCAGGTCAAATGAAACCTGCCAGACGGAAACCATCACCAAATATAGTTGACCTATTGTTTATAGTACTTGAGAAAATTCCTTAACCATGAAAACTTAACATTGACCAATAAACTATGAAAATGATGTAAAAGTCAGATTAACCCTACAAAACAGACATTACTCTTTCAATCATTTCAAACACAAAATATAGTTTACCAATTGCTTACATTAACTGAGAAACAGAAGTAACCATGCAAATTTATTGTGTATGATCCCTGATATGAGGTCAAGGTCAAGTGAATCCTCTCTGAAGAAAATCTAGACCTTACAATGATTCTATAAACTAAATAAAACCCTTAAGAGTTGAGATCATGTGTTAAACACACTATAATGTAATTTCAAGAAGTTGCTGAACCATAAAAATGAGGTCATCAATATCTAACATATTCCAAAGAAAACTTTAGAACATAAGGCATCGGTATATAAGAAATGACGTATACACTTCTTTAGCCTTTTGAAATATTTAAACCTTACACTGTCATTGACACCACAGCCTTGTTACAATTCACATTCTGTGTCATTCATTGCAGGCAAAAGGGGGGGGGGGGGGGGGGGGGGGCAGGGGGCCTGGCCCCTCTTATGGAGCTACATATATGATAAATGAATATACTTTTTACAAGCATCAGTCCAAACGTTGGCTAACGAGGGGCCCCCCTTTTTGAAAATCCTGGATCTGCACCTGTCAGATTAGACACTCATAATTTCTCTTGGTACTGTTTTTGTTATGGTAGTTAAATTATAAATTCAAGAAAAAAGTAATGCCAAATAAGGGTATGAAGTGATTTCCGTCATATCTTTTAAATAAGAATAAGAATTTTTTTGGTATAAATTTATTACATAATCAACAAATATTGACATGGAACTGTTACAAATTACTTTGATTATTAAATTAAAACAATGCAAATTAAAACAACATATTGTAAAGTCAACAAGATAATCATCACATAGTAACAACTTTTAAAAGACAAATAAATCAAAGTGCTTGTTAGCACTGAAGGGGAAGATTGCTTTCATTAAAAATGTTAAGCAGTAGAACATATTTGAAATGGAGTTATCTTCCTTTGCTCACAATTGAAAGTATAACAGATGAATTCATACACCATGCAATAATTTCTGCATCTTATGTAATATTAATTATCATTTTCTTAAGAAGTAAGGTTACCCACATATGCATCATTTTGTAGCATAAATATTTACAGACATGTTGTTGTTTGACATGGGCATGGATTATGATCTGAAGAATGTTCACCTTACAACACTGTGTTGTTTGTACTCTCAAAAGTAGAGATGAGGCCTGAACAATCTGACTGAAATACAAATCTTGTGTCCACACTTCACTTACAAGAATCTAACTTTCTGTTATTAATACCTTTCAGAATCCTCTGGTTTTGTCATAAGGATACAAACATTTAAAAATTAAAAGGCTGAAATTTCATTGGCTGATACAATAATATCTATTCCCAGAACAGAAATTAGATTGGAGTGTTGCCAGATCCTTGTAAGCAAAGCCTGGATACCAGATCTGTATTTCAATCAGATTGAGGCCTGATATAATAGCTATCAAGTCAGTGACTATAGGGTTTTGTTTGGACTTTGTGTAATTTTTACCCAAATAAAACAAGCAGGGAAAAATATTCCTTAATTCACTGTTTCAGAATCAAATGATTTCTATGTTATATTTTCAAAAGTGTATACCAAAACCTTCTACATGTAATTGGTCATCTAACCAATGATATGACATTGTTAAATTTGCTGAAGGAAAGATGAAATTACCAACAATCCTTTAGGTTTTGAATTGCCCAATTTCCGTCCATTATTGCTAACTGGGCTGGATTGGTCAATGTTACCATTTCTTGTAAGGACCTTCATTATTTTGAATTGTAGATGACCATTTATTTTCTTTACCATACAAAAATTATAAAATGTTATTTTGGACAACTTTAATATTTAAGGAATAATGAAGAGCTAAAATGTATTTTATTTGAACTTGGTTATGACTTCTAGCTCTAATGTGGTTGTTTGTTAGTTTGCCTGCCTTTACATTTCATTTCCATTCAGCCGTTGTAACTAATTTTTTTTAAAAAGTTTTTGATTCCAAAATATTTCATTCTTAGCATCACATAAGAGATACCATTTGCAAAAATTAAAATCTGGTGAATCAAAAAGATAATGGTTTATGTTATTCTGTCTTATTATTACTGCGGATTTATTTCATGGTTACAAATTTTTGTGGATTTCTTTCTTGGATATTTGATTTCATGGTTTTGCCAAAATCTGCATACAAGCCTATAAAAAAATTGTACTTCATTGAACATTTAAATTCATGGTTCATCTTTAACCACAAAATCAACGAAAATTGGCATTCCACAAATAAAAATGAATCCACAAGAGTACAGTATTTCAGATTTCATTACATGCATGCAAATCTCAAAAGCCTATAATTTCTAGGCTCCAACATAAATCTGAAATTTGGCAATACTGACTTTTTCCAACATTCTAAACTGTTCTTAGCAGATAATCTCTCCTTTTCAACATAATTTGTATTAAAATTTTAACATATATTCAATACATTATCTAAATACTTTTTTAATAAATATGACAGCAAATTTGAAAACATTCAAGCATGTAACATGCAGTTAAATTTCTATTGTTAAAATAAAATAAAATAGCCACAACTTTTGAGACACCAAAGAAATTGTTGAATAAGTATAAATAAGGTGAGCAAAACTTTTATAAAATATCTTTGAATGTTTCTTATATTGTGAAAACACTATGGTGAGAACAAAAGCTAATGAATCCGACTTGATTATTACAATATCTCCCTTTATAAATCATCACCAAAAGTATGTCCACATTCAGATTGTCTCTAATACCAAAAGTTCTAAAAAATAAAAAATAAAAGAAACTTTTGTTCTGGTCTCATTTTTAATAAATGGTTTTCTACTTGTGATTAAGTATACATGTAGGACACTGAACTGATGATCCATTTGATTTTACCTGCTTCCAAATTTTATCATCTTTCATGCACATAGTAATTTTGCTCCATGCACAGTATGACAAATCATTTTTCGCTCATGGTGAAATTTATATTTTATGTTATGTTCATAGCCCCACCACCACAAATTTACTCATACAAAACTCCATCTATTAGTATATATTTATAAAAAGCTTGCATGTTCAAAGATAAATCAGCTCTGGTCATTGCCTTGAAATACAAAGTAAACATAAAATTATTACAGTATAAATATAACACAGGCAAAAATAAATATAAAGCAAAAGATCAAAATGTATAAATTATAATATATTTATTGTCGTATTATTTATAGAAGTAATTTAAAAAGTCAAAAGTATCAAAGTATAAACCATGTAGAAATTGAGTTTACTTAAGGAAGAATGTTATGATAAGGGTGTACAGATAAGAAAATCACATATTTTTTAGAATATACAACACTAAAAATAATGAATTATCTCCCTTTGCCATATCTTTGTTAGTGTTTACAGATCAAAATATATAACAAAACACAAGTCTTTAAGTACCAAAACGAATGTTTTGTAAGTTTTATATTTAATAAATGTTTTGGCCACAAAACAACTTTTCTACAAACCTTGAATGCCTCTATATGCTACTAGTGCCAGAGGAAGAATATCTTGATAAATCTTAAATATTTGAGTCATAAGTGAATAAAGAGAAACAATTTTCTTATATATAATTGCTAAATGAAAATAACTTAAAATATTTGGGTCCTAAATAAAGTGAGGATGTTATGAATAAATTTTTCCCTCCGTAGCTTAACTCTACTTAATTTTTTACTTTGCCTAAATTTTTTTTCAATGAACTTAATCAAATTCAAAAGGGAATGTTATCCAAAAAAATATTGTGTTTTATATTCCATTTTCAGGAATTTAAATTATATACACCCCTCCCTCCTTTAAAAAAATCCTAGATCCCCAACTGAAATATATGTGGTCATATCAAATGGAAGAAATGGCTAATTTAAATCACAACCAGTTTTTATTATTGGTCCTTTGTGGTTTCATGTCCTACATAGAGTGTAGTCATAAAAACATAATAAAAATAAAAGATAAAAGATAACAAACTTCAAAGAAATGCATCTGAATTTACAAATTATTAAATTAACAATATTAAGAATAGACATATAAAATACTAATGGTCTCAGACAACATATCATTGGAAAAAAGTTTGCTACTGGTTTGTTTTTATATCATAGAAAATAAATAAATCTACATATTTGAATTTCCCAACACCTTTAAAGGTAGATTGTTACTCTTGTACAAATTTCTGTGTATATTCTGATAATCAATGGCAACTTCTAAACTGAAACATATTTTCTTGATGAATTTTGAGAAAGATTAAGAATTTGGATATATGCATAACAACATGTTGTTATAAGATACAAAAAAGAAAGAAATACAATGGAATAATTGATCACCCAACATCATGGATTAAACCACAATACTAAATACATTGTAAGATACAGGAGGGTATATTTAATACTGACTTATAAATATTGAGTCGCTGACAACCAACTTAAGAATTCGATATGGTATTGAAGATTATAACTTAAAGTGATGATGTGAAAAACATCATACATCAAGATGGTAGCCTTAAAATTTTTGTACAACACTTGAGGCGCTTATCATTAGTGTTTGATGTCTTATTGGGCCATTATATAACATTCCTAGATTCTCATTTTACTTTTTTTGATCAATTTGAAGGGAGGGGGCAATTTTTTTTCATATTCAACCTTTTTGTAATTACTCCTTCCAAAATAAAAGATTAAAGCAGGAAATCAAAATAATTTTGTTTTGGTTCTGAAAAAAATGGAGTTGAGGTGAGAATTTATGATTTCTTTTCTTGTGACCAAGCAATTACACCAAGATTCCTTGTGTGTATAAAAAAATTTTAGAGCTAATTTTCTAATACTTGTAGAGTAAAACTTTGGCTGGCTTGCTTGCTTTGTATGTATAAATGTTTGCCTCAGCATTGTAATTAAGATTGACATCTGTAAACACTATAAATAGGAGGAGTTAAACCTGTTTACATCATATTTAGATTCCTAACCTCCAGGATAATATCCAATCAAATTTAAGTATAATGCATACAAGTTTAACTCCGCCTTTTTATATTGTTTGCAGATGTCAATCTTAATTACAATGCTTGAGCAAACATTTATGTAAACAAAGCAAGCAAGCCAACCAAAGTCTCATTCCACAAGCATTAGGAAATTCGCTCTAAACTAATCTGAATCATTCATGTTAAGTGAATAAAGACATTCACCCTCCCACTTGAATCGTACAATGCAACCCATTCTATTCAAATAACTCAAAATAATTAAGTACACAACATATCACCATAATATAAAATCATTTATAATACAAAGGCAGTATCATTTCATATAATTTTTACCTTTCAATTGCAATTTTTTTATTGCATTTAGTGAAACAAATATTACACAAAATCTGAAAATCAATAAATACTACAAAAATGATAAAAACAAATATTAAAGCTATCTTCTTTTGGACAATTTTACATACAGGAATTTATTCTCACAAGAATGCATGTGTTTTCTTGCTTAGCATACCATTACTCATAATTCAAAGTATCATAAAACCAGAAGTAGGTGTCTGACAGACCCAAAAAGCATGCACACATTTAAACTCATCACTGTTGATTGCTGACAAAATATTGAAGTCAATCAGATCTATAGTTCTGGAAAAATGTGCGATGAAAATTTTAGGTTCATTCAACATATTGAAACTTCAAAGTATCAGCAAACAGGGAGTTGGCGTTTAACAGATTCAAAGTGTTCTCATGTTACAACTCATCATTGTTAAGACACTGATCAAATATTAAGTCATTCCGTTTGGTAGTAGTTAAGAAAAATATGAGGGAAATATTTATTAGAAGAATAGACAGACAAGATGAATGCAATAAGGCCCACAGTCCTATAGAGGAGAGATACTTAATATTTCTCAAGCATGCAATTTTCACCTACACTATTCTGAATATATCATTTGATGACCAGCATCCACCCATATTTATCAAGCAACCACAAAATTAGTTATATAAAAAAAATGTTAAAATAAAGAAGTGAAGAGTCTGTGTTTCTAAATAATGGAAGTGCAAATCAAAATTATGCAAAACTCAATAACAGCATAAGGCCAAATTATAAGCTGACCAAGTGGAAATCAGTTTATAACACTGGGAATATGCTTGAAAAATGGAATAAAAATGTAAAAATAAATAAATATTTTGTGTATCAACCCTCAATATGTACCAATATATCTCTTAGGCTGAAAGACATAAAATGTCTATTCTTGTAGAAAATTTCAAAAAGTTGTTATAATTTACTCTCAAACAAATACCTGTTGCAGAATATAAAACATATTTATGTTTAAATAAAAATATCACATAAACTATACCCTGAACACTATTTTCAGGAATGTATGAAAATATTAAAACTTATAAACATCAGTTCTAAATAAAAAAAACATATTATTATAGCCTTCATATCAGGTAAGGGTTTAAGTGCAAGTCTTTGTAAGAATTGTCAATTTAGAAAAAAATCAAAACATGGCAGAAAGAACCCACCGTCCTTACCACCCTATTTTGAAGATAACCTCATCCTGAGTTAGAAATGGTAGGTCTTTCATGTCTGGTAATTCGAGAAATATCTAGATAAATTTTGGTTAGAATGACAGCAAATTATGTGGTTATCTCCCCTTAATTGTTATTTTCTAGTGCATTTCAATCAAATTATATCAGAACAGGAACAGGAAAAGGAAACGAATGTTATATTCATGCACCATTATACTTTCTAAAAATTTAATTAGTGAGAAGTTGAGCGGGTTTTTGTTTGTCATGTTTTCACCACTGCCTGATTCTTAGGCAGATTGGCACTTAATCTATATAGAGACTACCTTTGTGCAACCCTATAGAGATTACTAAATGTCTGAAGAAATCTTTTTTTCTAAAAATTGTGAATTCATTTTGTATTTGCTACAAAGTTTGTGGATTTATAAGTGAATTTAAGTACTGAACAATACAAATTTAAAAAAAGCTTTTGTTCAGAATTTAATTGTACAAACTTTGAAATGAGGTCCACTTTATTACATTCTTCCTAATCAGTGAAAATTGCTATCCACAAAAGTAAACAAATTAACTGTTTTAAGACTTCAAAACTGCAGAAAAGGCACTGAACTCAATATACATTACATAACTACATAACCAGTATATTTAAATAAATAATATCCTGTTTAATATATAAATACTTTTTAAAAACAATATTTTTTCTAACAACTTCCAAAATAGAAGTAAAAATGTTACTTCTTCCTTGGAAGAAAAGCTTCTGGAAGATTAAAAAAATATAACAAATAAAAATCAGCACGACTAGATGACCAGCTCTATTGTTATTGTACCAACGTAGGCAAGATGACCTGCTCTGTTGTTATCGTATCAACGTAAGAAACTCTTCTCTAGTTTTCGGATCATCACGGAATACACCAAGCATAGTACTGGTTACTGTTTTACTGTTTAATTTCTGTACCCCTCTCATAACCATACACATGTGTCTGAAATATGCAAATACAAACGTTTATTGGCTAAGAAATCAAAATAAATTTCCACAAATTTAAAAGTGACAGCACTAACCAACATGTGTTGTTTATTCCTTTAAATCACACAAAAGATTCTTACCCTTAATCACCATTTTGCTCACAGTGCTCAGTATTTGTCACTTGCATTTGTTTCAAAATTAACACCTCACTGTTCTTTCTGTCATTTGAAATCGCAAAATTTAAACCATACAAAAATAAAACCACTTATGCATAATAGTATTCAGTAATAACGCATTATCAGTTTACATATACAAATATATCTCGCCTGCTGCAGTTTTGTATATTTTGAAAAGGCAATGACCTTTCACTAGAATTTTATTCCATGATCTAATGTATTCTGTAATAAAATATGTAAAAACAAAAATACCAAACTCCAAGGTAAATTCAAAACGGTGAAGTCCATAAAAACTGACGAAACCAAATGCTCAACTATATCAACCAACAGAACAACGGGAAAACTGTAATTATCCTGACTTGATTCAGGTATTTTCCGAAGTACATCATGGTTACAACCAAACTCTGTATGAATTCTGAGAAACACAACCAATCCAAAAAATTAAGTTCAAATAAGGTCAAGGTCCATATTCCATCTTAAACTGTTTTTTTTCAAAAATTATTGTGTGTTATTTCTGGTCAAATTTTGATTAACTTTGTACTTAAAGAAGCAGAATTATCACTAGTTAATTTGTTGCAATTTTTTCCCCCTGAAATTTGCTACATATTTCAACAAATTTAAATTTCAGAATTTATGCTACATGTAATATATACTACATCAGGAGAAAACAAAAACAATTGAAGACAAAACTATGAATAAAACAAACAAATATACTTCAGACAATTTTGCTTCTTTTAACATCTGGTTTGGTTCATTCCAGCCATAAATGCCTTCAAAATTAATTTTTTGAACTTTATCGGTTGCATTCTGGTATATCTACAGAAATTCATATCTTACATTGTTTTTCTCTTATTTTATCGGTTTTTTTATGTTAATTTTACATGAATAGGCCATTTCTCGAATCATGTCTTTCACCGGAAAAGATCATCAATTTCGCACGCCTTCATGATGTCATTTACCAGATAGAAGGCGCGCCTGTATCCCTGCTCTATTAAAGTTTCAAGAACTTTCAGAATCGTCATTCTGCAGGGTAGTCTAGAAATAATTTATGTTATGTAAATACGTAATCTTAATTCCTGTACGACTGAAGAGAGTGTGAACAACTTATTAGATTTTAATTTCCCAAATATTTTGTGCAGTATTATTATAAGATCAAACTATTTCAGCCGTTCCCTCAACATATGTTGGAAGTAACAATGCCTACATTTTAGTCACGTGGTGATGGAAGTCACATGACAGATTCAACTAACTACCGTATCCCGGAACTGGCGTACACATGTATATGAATACATTTTCAGCCAATGTACATTAATTAACCAATACTCACTCAATAGAATAACATACATATATAAAAATAAGAGATGAGGTATGATTGTTGATGAGCCAACTACGTTATGTTACTCATCTCAATGAACAATGTTAGATTGTCTTGCTCCAATGTTAGTTTTAATTTGCATGCATAGATATTCATTAATGTTAGAAGAGGAAAATATAGTTAATTACTAAAACTTACGTAGCCTCTATTACAACTGCTACACCAGAAGGCTGTATAGCTTCTGTTATAGCCACAGCTATTTGTTTTGTTAGTCTTTCTTGCACTGAAAAAAAAAGAAATTTAATAAGTCTAAACCATCAAAATTAAAGGGCATTCAGGTGTTTAAACAAATAACTATACCCTGACTTTTCCTTAGCTACATTGACCTACTTCAGACCCCCCCCCCCCCTTGAATCTGTGACTATTGTTCTTTTTTCTAATTTCTTACCAACAGTAAGTTGTTTTGTTTACTATGATATTAAAAATTTCGATATTTGTCCACAATATCTCTTACAATTCATCACATTAGCAAAAGATTCTGATTATATTAAGGCAGTTTAAATGAATAAAAAGTTCACTATAATTAATGGCCTATTCAGGTCCTTAAATCAAAGTATGATATAATGCTTTAAATAAACATATATGATAATTTAATTTACTTTGAGTAGGGGAAGTGCCATACTCTCTGCATGTTGCAAAACTCTCCAAGGGGTCACTCGATGACCTGTTTCAAAGCAAAATTACTGCCCCTATCATGCATACCCTAATTTTCCATTGGCAGTCAAAATATCTCAAACCCAATTTGTAGAAATATGGTCATTCATGGACTTCCTCTGTCCGCCAATTAAAAATTTCAAAATTAGGGCATCTGTATGGCTTATACTGGATGTTAAAGTAGGCAGCCAAATTTTGAGAATTAGATCTTCTGTATTATTTAGGGTGAGTGCAGAGCTCTATGCAAGTTGATAAAAACCCTACTCTGATTGGCCAACTGCAAGTTTCTGCCCATATCCAACATACCCCCTTGGCTTCATTCCAGTGGCAAGCAAAAATTTCAAATGCCATTATTGACCCTTTAGGAACCTTCTTCTTTTTATGTCCAGAAAGTTCAATTCCACTTTACATTACATACTAGTCAGTAGTTGTGGTATGTCATACTTGTATCTAGTAATCTTTATATTTTTTTTGGGGGGGAGGATAGAATGAGGTTTCACATGTCAATGTGACGGAGTGTTTTTAAATAAAGCATATTGTATTGTATTGTAATAGCAGATCTTTAAATGTTTCTAATTATTATTCAAAACTTTTATAGATTTAGTAAATTAAAAGCTTGAAATATCATAAAGACGCATGTTTATTGTTGAAGAATAAATGTTGCCCTGAGAATGTCTTTTGTTGTTTTTGTCATTGGATTGCTGTCTCATGGACATACACCCTACATTTGCTTTATTCCCATTGAACCACTGTGCATCTCTATGCACCATATACTGCGATTTACTGGCTCATTTCACTGACAATGAAATTACTTTACACCCTGGATCTAGTATCAATTAACAGAACAGTAAACTGGATCCATGTCGTGTAATTTTAATGTACCTAAGATCAATCCATTGGATGCCACTTAAATGAATATTAGGTAAACATAGCTTATAAATGAGAATGTCAATGCTTTGAGCTTTAAAAAAAATTATAAATTATATTCCATTTTTGATGTTTTGGTGTTTAAAAATCAAAGGATATTTAATCTAAATATGAGATCTTTGGCTGTTAACTTATCAAATTAAATCACAAATTTTGTGCACTAAATTAGATAGAAATGAATGTTCTATAAAATAAAGTGCATTTTATAGAACATCATGGTAAACACAATGACAAACAGAATTACAAACCAAACATCTATGATAATAAGCATCAATAGCAGGCTGTGATTCAGGATTTGATTTTAGGGGGCGCTCCTTAGAAATTAAGAAATAATTCTTTCATGCCATGCTCTATGCTCATTTCAACATGGGAAGGCATTATATTTGTCAATATCTTTATACCGAGCGTTAGCGAGGTGTAAAATGTTGACAAATATAATGCCTACTCATGTTAAAATAAGTATAGAGCATGGCATGATAGAATTATTTCGATTCAAATAGGAAAATTTAGAACTTTTGTACCTCGAAGCGGAACTATAATAACGTTCAAAGGCAGCCATTTTGATTTTATGAAGCCAAAAAGATATAGAAAATCAACTGTTTCACGATAAAAAATGAACAGATACATGTAAACTTTTAGAATGATTTTATTTAATTTCCTAGCAAGCAACACCAAAACAAATGTCCATTTTGATCTCCTGCGTTGTTTAAAATTCAACTGACTTTGCACTTTCAATTGTGACGTCAATCACGTGCAGCCCATTTTTTATTGGAATTAGAACATGGCTTTGTTTTCAAAGCAAAAGAAGAACGTCATATTAGAATAGGAATTAGAGGACCTTTTTAGACCTAAAATTGGCTGTAGATTTACTTTTATTACATTTTATTCTTTTTTTTTAGGGGGGGGGGGGGGGGGGGTCTGCACATGAATGGGATTATTATTAATGATAACAAGAAGATTGTCAATAATTACAATTGCCTTTTCTGTAATAAAATGTATAGCTTTAAACCAGATGGATAATCTATAAAACAGTTATTAAAACAATTTTTATGTGAAACATTCATATTGTAAAATTACTGGCTTCTGTTATTACTTTACAAAATCTCTAACAGAAACTGCATTACAGCTACTTACATGTACACTCTAATACCATTATAAAGAATAATTATATTATTTATTTCTGATTAAAGCCTACCTTGTAAACGTCTACTGTAAATTTCTACTATTCTGAAAAACAAATTGAAATTATCATATGACAACTTCTATGTCATTAATAATTATAAAAGTTTTGACCAATATACTCTATTATGGGGATGTTTAACAACACTGTCTACATGGGTCTCTCTTGCATTGTCTTAGTTTCTACAGACTCAAAATAGCTTCTATCTCAATTTGGTTGAGTTCTATGTTACTAATATCATATTCTGCACTGAAATCATTGTTATTAAAGAATGTCATGGAATAATTTATTCATCTTACCATTGAGTTTTTGAAGAAAACAAAGTGTTTGATCATGAGGAACCAATTGGTATAAAGAATTTCCTCTTATTATTTTAAATATTATTCCTGTCAACTTTTGGTCTGATTAGTCAAGCAGTTGCAGAAAAGATAAATCAATTCAAAAATGGTTGCTAATGTTTCCTGATGCATTATATGTCAAGCCTATTCAAAATACAGATGCTACTAGGTATGAAAGTTTCCTGGTAAAACTCAGAAGAGCTAGTTCTAAAATAGTCCATGTGTTATGGGGAGTAAAAAATATGGTCAAAGTCCCATAACTCCAGAATTGTCAATTAAAAATTACTTGCAATAAACCAAAGAAATCAGAAATGAATTTACAAAAATCAACCACTATTTCATCTTGTTAAACTTCAAAGATCAAACTATGTTGTTATATTAAAAGCCATAAAAGTTAGCATTGAAACATGTTATCAATCCTTTTTTTTTTAAATCAGATAAACCAATCTTTTTTTTTTTAAATAAGATAAACAAAAAGAAATTGATTTTGATTTTTTTACTGGTAAATTCCACCGTTATTTAAAACCATTCAATACAGCATCAGAATTAACTCCCACTGTACTTTTTAAACAGTATTAAATTCCAAATCATTAAAAGCTATGAAAATATATCAGAATTAAATAAAGAGACTATATCTATAATGTGACGTGATTTCCAATGATTACTTGGCTGACATTAAACAAACCATCAAAATCAAGGCAAAACTAAACATACTTGTTTATTCATGTAAAATTTGTTTAAAGAAAATCTATGGATGGACAAAGTGATTTTTTTAAAAGGAGTGATTGTGGCACAAAGTATCAATGATGTCACTCGCCTCTGTGTTCGTAATATAGGCCTAAATATCAATGTTATTATTGGACATGTTTTTACTGGGTTTGATAATATTAAGTCAATTATTGGCTTCTCTTTACCACACCTAAGTATCAGTAACAATAAAATGACCAATTATTAGATTTAATATAAACAAACTTCTAGGAATCAATAGCACTACAGCAATCTGGAATTGATTGCGTCTTTGATAGAATCAATTAAATATATCAAGCTTACCTTGCTAATTTACTAAGTCCTAATACCCGTTTATTTGGTAAATAGCCTATAGATACCTGAAATGTACAGAAATGCGTTTTACTTCAAGTCCTGAAAGTAGAACTAATATAAAATGTTTTAGGCCCTGTATAATTAGTGCATAAGATGGAAAAAGAGGCAATGTTTTATTTAATGTTAGTAGCACAGTGTTTTTAGGAGGGATTTTTTAAGGAAAAATAAGATTTAAAATGTTATATACCATTTATTGAATCAATATAATATATGAGCTGCGTCGGATAGAAATCGACCTTATGCAAATGAATATCAATACATCTGTTAACCTATTTCAGTTGAAAAAAACTCTATGCAAAGTCTGTAACTGTTTGAAAATTGAATCGTTATAAGAACCCTACAAAACCGATTCCAAAATTCATCTTTTATTTCGCATTTAAATATTCCAAAATCATTCAAAGTCTTATACTCTCATTTGCATAAGGTCCATTTCTATCCGACGCAGCTTATATGTTAAGCAAAAAAATTCTCACAAACTGTAGCTATGATCGAAATGTGACGGTATTTGTAAATAACTCATTTGTTGATTGATGGTTCACTCAGAAAACGCCTCCAGTTTTCTCCTCCATTGGTTTTAAAGAAAATATACCTATTTGTAAAAAGTGATTAAAATCTCATCATTGTAAACCATATGTTATTAGTGAAATAAATAAGTCATTTCCTTTTCAGTTAGCATGATCTAAATAAAGCATAATTTCTATTTTCGGTTCCTAGCATGAAAATTTTGCTTTCCTAATCAAAGCAAAGGCTGAGGATCTTTTAAACTAGAGGCTCTCAAGAGCCTGTGTCGCTCACCTGTATTTACTGATGCTTTGGAAATCATGTAAAATAAGGTTAAAATCATAATTAATAGTATTAGATATTAGATATTATAATGATATCTAAGATAATAACAAAAAACTGCAAAATTTTTGTAAAATTACTAACTCAGGGGCAGCAACCCAACAACGGGTCGTCGGATTTGTCTGAAAATTTCAGGGCAGATAAATCTAAATCTGATGAACATTTTTGCCACCTGTCAGATTTGCTCTAAATGCTTTAGTTTCAGAGATATAAACCAAAAACTGCATTTTACCCCTATGTTCTATTTTTAGCCATGGCGGCCATCTTGGTTGGTTGGCGGGGTCATCGGACAAATTTTTCAAACTAGTTACCCTAATAATGATTATGGCCAAGTATGGTTAAATTTGTATCATTAGTTTCAGAGAAGAAGATTTTTGTAAAAGATTACAAAAATTTACGAAAAATTGTTAAAAATTGATTATTAAGGGCAATAACTCCTAAAGGGGTCGACTGACAATTTTGGTCATGACAACTTATTTGTAGATCTTACTTTGCTGAACATTATTGCTGTTTACAGTTTATCTCTATCTATAATAATATTCAAGATAATAACCAAAAACTGCAAAATTTCCTTAAAATTACCAATTCAGGGGCAGCAACCCAACAACAGGTTGTCAGATTTGTCTGAAAATTTCAGGGCAGATAGATCTTGACCTGATAATCAGTTTTACCCTATGTCAGATTTCCTCTAAATGCTTTGGTTTCAGAGATATAAGCCAAAATCTACATTTTACCCCTATGTTCTATTTTTAGCCATGGCGGCCATCTTGGTTGGTTGGCGGGGTCATCGGGAACATTTTTTAAACTAGATACCCTAATGATGATTGTGGCCAAGTGGTTTCAGAGGAGAAGATTCTTGTAAAAAGCTAACGACGATGGACGACGGACGATGGACGCCAAGTGATGAGAAAAGCTCACTTGACCCTTCGGGTCAGGTGAGCTAAAAATGTGTGAACAAAAATTAACCATTTGTCTGTACATGTACTAGGTCAGGATTCTAATCATTTTTGTATTCATACTTGACTTCTTTTCTTTAAAAGCTATTGTAGTCACTTTTTGTAATTTATGGTTTAATTACAAAGGTTCTCTGTTCTTAATAAATTAAAAAAGGTAACTTCTTGGAAGTAGCAGTATATATGTATTGATTTTAAAACAGGTGTGGATGTGGTTGGTAGAATTTTGTAATCTTGTCACTTGAAGCAATTCCGCCAAAGATCCAGAAAATGTGAAAAGAAGAGGTTCATCTGGATCACAGGGGTTCCAGTATATCTTTTAAAGTTTTTTTTTAAATCATGAGAAAAGGGGAAAAAAACCTGCCATTCTGGCTCTCCCCATTCATGCCCTGCTTTCATGATATTCATATATTCATGAATTAGGAAGAATATTCATGAATATTCATGAATATTCCAGTTTTATTCATGGGTTCTATTCCAGTGTCAAAATTATTCATGAATAAGAAGCATGAATAAACTGGAATATACATGAATTCTTAATAACTGTATGAAGACAACCAAAAAGAATTGTTAAAATGCCTAAAGCTTACTATAATGAAGTTTTTTTATTTCTAAAACTAATTTGGGCACAAAAGAAACCTTTTTTTGGGACATGAATAATCATGAATAAACTTGAATGTATGGACTTAGATTTTTTCTCATACATATAACATGAATAAGGATGAATAATGATGAATGAAATTTGGACTTAAAATATTTCTCGATTGTGTGACAAACATGAATAAGCATGAATAAAGCTGCATGATAATGACTCAGAATTATGTGTGACCAACTGCATTATATTACCAATGAAAAATGTAATTTGTTCTAGGATTTTGTTTATTTTGACTTTTTTTTTTGGCTGAGGAAATATGTTCAATAATTGGATGAAAAAATCATGAATATTTCGTGTGACATCAAGCCCTTATGTTTGATTTTTTCAATGACCCTACCCTTAAACTGCTGCGACTGTTTTCACAAAAAATCTTACTTCCACAAAAAATCTTACGATTAAAATTGATCGTAAGTTATACTGAAATGTGTATGACTTACGAGTATTTTTACTCTTAAGATTTTTTGTGAAAAGAGCCGCTGCTTTGTAAAATTGGATGCCCTTTTTATAATGCCTCTCCCCCACCTGCTGCTTTCTAAAAATGACAGATGTCCTCTGTTACAGAAAAATTTGAATTATTATTTTAATGCACTTGCTAGATCAATTAATGGAAGTAAAGATGAAAAAAATAATTTTCAAAATATTTATATTTTAAGTGCTTTCAGGTTAAAAATAATTAAAAGTAATATTCTGATATGCATTTGCATTCAATTTGTTTTATATTTTTTTTTTAGAAAAAAACCCAATAAATTTAAGGAATATATTGTGAAAAAGGTGATAAAAAACGGGAGGTAACTGAAACATTTTTGAAATACACAAATTATTTATGAAATAAAGCAAAGGTTATTGGTGTTAATTAACAATGTGTTGGACACCAAAGCTGTCAGGTGAAGCCCTGCACTTAATGGGTCACTTAATTTGACAGTTTACACAGCTAGCTGAACTTCCTTTTCATGGAAGAATTACGAATTTCAGTTTGTCAGTATTTCAAAGTCAGAAAAATGCCGAGATTTTCGCGATAAAAACGACAGGGCGCCCGAGAAACGCCAACGGCTGTTTTGCCAGACAAGCTGGATCGTTTCTGATTTTCTACCTGTTGTCCGGCATTTAAATAACTTAGAAACATTATCAGATCAATGATAGGTCAACGATCGACATCGTAAAACCTTGGTTTCTCAACTTATGTAAAATGTAAACAAGTCATGACCACGTGTTTTTTTTTTGTAATTGTACTGAACAGTCCGACCCTAGAAAATACTGTCCTAGATAATGCAGCCACTAGTTCATCCTTATGCACCCTGTGCCGATTAAATTAAAGTTGTTTTTTCTTATTTTTAAAAACTGGCCCGTAATAAATACTTTTATACGACACCCATGATTTATTTTTATAATACCGTTACGGGGACGGATCAACTTTTGGCCGATATAATATGGGGCGAGATTGTCACCTCGACGTTAGCGTACTCGATAAAAACGTCATGAAATTGTGATTACGCTGTTGCAGAACAAATCAACATAGAAAATCCCATGAAGATGTTTTCAGATAAGTGTATTAAAAATTTAATTTAACATGTGTATATAATGAGATTATAAAATATAATTTGTTGAGGAACTATGATTGTTTTATGGTTTTTATTTGAGCAAATCAACATCAGAAAGTCTGAAAGCATAAACTGAAAATATATTTATTTTTAACAATTGAATAATCTTGTTGTCACATAACAGGCATCACTGGTAGATATGTAAATAATTAATTGAATTGTGTGAATGGTTATTTGGTGAAAATAATAAGTCGCTAGTTTTTTATCTTCAGGGGATAAAAAAGGGGGAGGGTATTTAATTTGATTCCAAATGGCTTCCAATGTATACTGTATAATCATGCAATAATATTTCTATTGAATTTATTGCTTCAAAACGTCTAGAACAATTGATTCTTTGTGGATTTTTTCGATACTTTTAGGGGATTAAATGATTAAATGGAGCTGCCAATTTTGAAAGTAAACGGATTGCATGCATGCAGATTCCAGTTACCTTTACTCAGCAATACTAGTTGGAAGTACAGAGACAGCAAATTTAATTACAGAAAGGAGGAGAACTTCACATGTATCCTTTATATCTGACACACAATTTTAATATTATAAAACTGAACAGCGAGCATCATTAAGCCATGGTGAACAATGCGTATCTAAATACAATATGGCAGGAGGGGGTGTGGAGGGGTACCATTTTAATGGGTAATTTAACAATATAAGCAGCCATTAAAAATGGCAAACAAGTTTGCTAGTAGTACTAGTATCTAATTTTGATGGAAGTTTAAGGATCTGACATTAAATACGTCAAGTATTTTTTTTTTAAATCGGAACTTGACAGCCATTGGAATAAGATATTATATAAACATGGCCAATACAAATACTCATTACTTATTACAATACATCTTGCTGTAATAAATTAATTAGTCAATGTAAATCATACTGCAATGTTTATATATACGTGACAGATTTGATACAACAAGGGCAATCGTCTACCTTATAATGAGGAATATGGATTTAAACTAATAAAAGAAAATATTTGCAAAAGAACAAATTTGTGTATTAAAAATAGATTTTACTCAATTTTTTTAATTCTTTATAGAATACATGCAAGACATTATTGGTCCTGAACTAAGGACATTCTCAGGATATTTACACGATTATCCCAGGGCCAACTTAATGCAAGCAAATCTGTAAATCCTGACATCAGGATAATTTCCTGAGACCAGGACCTGATGAATCCTGAGCACAGGATTATCACAAGATTCTTTACTATTATATTTATGGATGGTCTCTGGATATCCCTGGAATATCCTTGTTCCAATACCATCCCATGTTTAACCCTATCTCAGGATAAGGATTATCTGTAGTTGCCCTGGGATTTTTCCCAAGATTATCCTGAGATATCCATTTTCGCAAGGGTCAGACACCGTCACCGTCACCAGGGGCATAAAGTGATTTTCTTAAAATGTCATTTAATATTTTATATCAAGAATGCAAAAATAGCAAAATATATTTAGAACTGCATTATAAAGGTCAAATCCTGAATTCCTGCAAAAATTAAAGCCCGAGAAAGACCTTCTGCCCCTCATATTTGTATTCATGGTATTCTAAATTTATTTCTACATTCAATATTCAATAACATCTATTTCGCATTTATGGTTATTCTAGAATATTCAAGGATATTCACATTCATGGTTATTCTAAAATATTCAAGGATATTTCACATTCATGGTTATTCGAGAATATTCAAGGATATTTCACATTCATGGTTATTCTAAAATATTAATGGATACTCCACATTCATGGTTATTCTAGAATATTCAACCATTCAATATTCATGGACATCTTATTTCACAGTAATGGTTATCCTTAAGTCAGTATTCCACTATTCAATACTCATGGACATCCTTTTTCACATTCAAGAATATTCTGTAGATAAATATTCATGTTAATTCTTGGTTATTCAGTTCATACAATATTCATGTATATTCAAGGTGCCATTTAACATTCATGAATATTCATGAATATTCATGAATTGTAACCTTGAATATTCATGAATATTCATGAATATTATTCATGAATGTTCTAGAATTATTCAGGAATATTCATGAATAATTCCAGTTCATGAAAGCAGGGTGAGGTCTGCCAATGCAAATATTGCTCTAAACAGTATCATTAAAATTACCTTTCCTAAAAAGGGAACTAAATGATGTTCACATAGAGAGAACATTTCTATATCTTTTACTATCACCATTTCATCATGATCTTCATCAAATATAGCATCATTTAAGGCCTCTGTAATAAAAATTAAAATAATCTATTCATAGAAATTCATTGCAAAACCACATATAATCTTTTCAGACTATAAATTCACAGAAAACCTGTCCCCTTTCCAGGTCATTATCATTCTTTAAATCTATACTTGTAGTACCAAGAAAATGATAATGTCATTTGTATGCACACATTCTTTAAGTTCAAAGTATTTTCTATTTTCTGCAATCAAAACATTCCAAAATCATGGACTATATGTAGATATTTAAAAATAAAACAAATGCAATATTAAATTATTCAATTTTACATCCTGTTTGTTTTATATATAGTATTTAAATATGTTTGCACTTGGTCATGTATTACATACGTTGTAAAAGTACATGGACTTAATATATTTCACTTTTGAATAATCCCTAAATAACCTTCCCACATCACAACCTTAAGTTTCTTATAAATTTTTTTCTGGAAAAGATAAAAAAAATAAATAAAATATTTGACTAAAATTGAACATTTCAAATAAACCTTAAATTCTAATACAGACATTTTCATTTTCAAATTTGTGATATACGAATAAAAGGAGGTTTTGCATAAATGTTAATAAGACAGTAATCAAACAACACAGAAAAAAAAGAGACATGATCATGGTTTTCCTTGCAATTCAATGACACTGCACATTAAAATTGCTTTGCCTTTAATCATGCTGCCGGGATAACTTTTATGGAACAAATCTGCACAATGTCTTCTGAGGTAAAAAATTAATCATTCATTGAGCACTTAATTCTTTAACTCTGGAGAAAATCATTATTCAGGTCCATGTATATATAACTCTTGCGCATCATAAATATCAAAAGCTATTGAAAAGTAGAGAAAAGTTTACTTTTATATAATATACACCAGAAATTAATTTTAACTGCAGAGCTATATGACACATATCCAGTTTACTGTACTCCGTTTTGCTTTGGAATACGGTAAATTACTCCTGGTTTTCTCAAGCTACATTATGCCATTCTATAATGGGAAATGATCAACTTGTTCCGGTTTAAAGCAATGTACTATGTACACAAGAGAGGCGAAAGATACCAAAGGGATATTCAAACTCATAAGTTGAAAACAAACTGTCAAATTGCCATGGCAAAAAACGGAAAACAACAAAAAGACAAACAGCAGTACACAAAACACATTAAAGAAAAACACAGACTGAGCAACACGAACCCAACAAAAAATATACATATTCAATGTAAAAAGATAGCAGGTCACAATACAATATTTTTATTTCCAAATTTAAGGGCCCATTAAGAGCATAACATTAATAACAACATGACATAAATATTACAGAGTGATTAAAGAAACATAAAATAATAGTTCAAATGCATGAGGAAAGGGTCATTTGTCAAGGGGAGATAATATTGCTATCTATTAGAGTATTTAACTAATTTTCTGATTTTTTAAGTTGCAGGCCTTTATCAAGGTTGGCACATAAAACAGATAAAAAACTGCTATCTTCATTTCTCATGATCCATGTAAAAAGGTCACAAACTTCTATACAAATTAAATAAATATAGTTTTAGGAATAAAAACCTTTTAAAGATACATTCCTTATATATATACAAGTAAATGTACAGATCTGCAAACCTATGCAAAGATTGTGAAACCAAATAGATGCATATGTATGTAAAACTGTCATACGAGCTAATGTTAAATGTCGTTTTTGATGTCATTCAATTTTTACATGGACATATAATGAAAAGCTCAATAAAACCATATTGAAATCCAATTAACTCTGCAATAAAAGTTCAGCAGCCATTTAACTGATCTAATTTGCTAGTTAACCAGTAGTTAAACCATTTATAAACATTTAACAAAATAGCGGAATGGTTTATTGGTAAAATAGCAATACTGCTCAGGAGTGCCGTGGGTATTTATATTCAGTTACCAGACAAATTGCAAAAATGACAAAATTAAGGATCAATAAAATTGTGATTTGTTTTGTTGCTGTGAACTGATTTGTCAAATGTTTTAAGTGGAATTATGTGTATTGATCAGGCCATAGGAAACATTTGATCCATTCATGAATTTTATTTACATACATGAATAACAGATTCAGACAGTCAAAGAATAAACTGCAAGTTTTCAAAGTAAACAATATCTAATGGATTTCCTAACTTCTGAAGTTAAGTGAGATTTAGGTTTCATAACATAACAAGAAAATATATTTCCTCCTAATTGAATGAAATGGTAAAACATTCAATCATAAAATATACTGTATTTTTATTTATTTTGATACTTAATGCAATACACGATGTAATAAAATAGAAAACAAGAGGCATTGACTGTGTAATACATTGGTTTATTTTCATCAAAAGTTTTACATAAACTATCATTTAAATCTTGTTTTTGGTACTGAAAAAGGTTTGTTTAAAAAATTAACAATAGATAGAATGAAGTAAAAAAAACATGATTTTACTGCAATGCCAAAAGTAAACTTGTATATCTATGTAAATTTATTTCTATATAAATATATAGACAGTAAACAAAGGTACTGCCCATTTTACCAGTAACTGTTTTTCAAACTACAAAAAAGCTAATAAATACTGAGACTTATAGTTGTTAATTTCTGTGTCATTTGGTCTCTTGTGGAGAGTTGTATCATTGGCAATCATATCACATCTTCTTATTTTTATATTAGCTAGGCTTCTTATTAACTGCTTTAATTGCTCTCTACCAGATTTCAAGAAAAATCAAACCATTAGTATTGTAAACATTCCAGTGGTTAAAAAAAATACTTTTTAATATAATGGCAAGATTGTTTCAAGCATTTCCCTCCCTTAGGTGTACTATTTTTTAGAAAAGGTTGGCTGTAAATGATCTTAAAATTTTGAAGTTTCCTTGGCATTTCAAAAATAATCACAGTTGACTATCTCCTTTTTTCAAACAACTTTAAACACATCTTGGAAAGACTCGATATATCCCTTTTTAATTTAGACCCCCTCTGTTGATGGAAAAAGAATATATAGACTTACATGAAGTGGAGTCTTGCCTTTATTTATCTTGCATATTGTCACCAAGGTGGGTCTCATTGGGGTCTAAGCGTGACACGGGATTGCCGATTTTTTGTAAGCGTGACACTTGAAGGTCAAATTATTGTGCTGTGAAAACGGGAAATGAAGTCTAGCGGGATACGGGAAATTACAAAAAAAAGAGAATTGCTTAGGTACATAGTGTAAGCGGGATACGGGAATCTGACAAAACAGTAAGCGGGATCCGGGATCAGAACCCCCCAATGAGACCCCCGCCAAGTTTATTAATGATGTTGGTACACTCACAAAAGTTAAATACTATACTGCATTAATCTTGTTTCTCATTATACTGACTCAGCTTAAGCATGCAGTTACAAGAATAAGAAAAAGAATGATATTCACTATCATGGGGTATCAGAACGACAATACATGTATATTGTTACACAGGGCAATACATGTATATTGTTACACAGGGCAATACATGTATATTGTTACACAGGGCAATACATGTATATTGTTACACAGGGCAATACATGTATATTGTTACACAGATCTATTTTATTCAAACAAACATTTACATAACAATATGAACTGACAAAATAATTAATCAAGAGTTCATTATCATGCTGAAATGTCTCGCCTACTTTACTGATCTTGAAGATTAAGTCTACCTATATCAAAAGTCTTTTATTTAAACACAAGTGAACCAACGCCTGGTACTTGAGACGTTTTAATTTTCTCAACTCGATTTTGTACCTCAGCATGATTTTATGTATTGCTTTCTATCCTGATGACGGTGGCCTAGCCACCGAAACATGTCGATCTCAATAAATTACTGGTAAAATTTCTTTCTAAGACTATTTCTTTTGTTGCTTTTGTAATTTATATCTATATACATGTATATATATTGTTCAGCAGAAATAACAATACTATAGTGTCATGATTACATAATGATTGATAACCATTACTGTCAGGTCTTCCTATTTTAACAACACCTTTTCATTAACATGATTAAGGCTTTGTCTTAAATTACTACATCAGGCATCTATTCCAAACTTTAAAAAAGTTTTAACAATACATTATAATTCATTCCTAGTACATTACTTATGGTTTTTATAATATTGCATCATGTTCATTGTGACTGTTTTTAAATAAATATTCAACTTTTGTAAATTGTCATGAATGTTGTTAGCAGCTGGGACTATTATACTAATATAATACCTATTTGACATTTGACCCCTACTTACTTTTTGGTGGGTCCCTCCATTGCCCTTTTTTTAATTCTGGTTCTTTCACTGATATAAGAAAATTGTTGCTTTTTTTGTTTGTTTCACTAAAAAAATGCAAAGCAAAGGGTAGGTAGAATATTCATGAAAACATACATTATTCATTTCTTATTTTAGCCAACCAGCAATGAATAAGATTGATAAAAAAAACAGTTATTCTTGAAAAGTTTTGGTGAAATTCGAAAGAAAGTCATTTTATTTCATCATGTTCATGTACTGTGGTTTTTCTTTTTAATTTATTTAAATTTTGTTATGTCCTTTGCAGTGAACTTGTGTTTGTTTTAGAACATTTTATCTGGTGTTTCTCTGATTCTCCTTACATTTTACTCCATTGTCCTTTAAAAAAAATTCTAATACAAGAAAATTGTGAATATTTTTTGGTTATGTTAAAAAAATTAACTAGCAAAAAATACAAAAGCAAAAAGTAGGGAGAAAATTCCTGAATACAAATCATATATATTTCAAATATATTTCTTATTTCAGCTGATGGGCAATGAATCAGATTGATAAAAATAGTCATAGATGAAATGTTGTAGTAAAATTTGAATAAGACTTAAGTCTCTGACATAATAGGAGATAAATATTGGAGTCAAATGACATAACCCAGCTTATGTAAGTAAATATATGTATATCATGTATATGTAGATAAGATAACAATCAAATATTTTATTAATTACTGACGTCTGATATTCTAGGATAATGTAGTACAAATGTACTTGTGAATAGATTGATTGATTGTTGGTTGCTTAATGTCCAGTGGCAATTATTTCATGCATGTTCAGGACGATTATTATCTAGTGAATAGAAGAACATAACACCACTATTAACAACTTTACTATTCTTATATTTCAAGGCTTAAAAAGTGACCACATACATGTATATTACACTCTGTCATGTCTGTTGTAGCATAATTTTTAAACATTAACATAAATATAAATTTAGAAAGTGACATATATACATGAATGTCACATAGATTTTGCAGGTAGAAATAAATCATGAATAAAGATTGTTCAAAAACTTTAAACTAAGTCTTAGATATTCTCTTATTTAAATACACAAAAAAGTAAGAAAATTGCTTTAAAAAATTCGTCACAAAATTGACTAGAACATGTCAATAAGAAATCTAAAAAAAAAATGAGGTAACAGTGATTCTGTGAAAATTAAGTTGGTTTTACGGTATACTTTTATAGCAGATGAATTTTTAATTTCAACATTTGTTTAAAAATTAAATTATATAATTTTAATCACATTAAAACAGGACACATTAACATCCCCTTTAGGCAACTTTATGTACTAACCTTTGATGTTGTCATTGTATCCTTTTGTAAAAAACATTAATGCTTTAGCAGCCCTTTCAGGAGTTCTAACTAATCCTTGTCTAGTTGGGTCTTCACCTAAATTCGAAAGAATACCTTTATAATGTTCTGTTATTTTTAATTGTGCATTTTCATCCCTAAGAGGCTTATCATTTTCAGTGTCCTTGTCGTTTTCACCATCCCCCAAAGTCAGCTTTTTCACTTTTTTCTCCAATTCACTGTCAGGATCAGGAATATAATGATGTGCTCCACTCTCTGTCATCGTTTCTCAATTCCGTAGATAGCGAGTATTCAAGTGACAGTTTCTCAATGCTCTTCGTAAAGCTGTAAAATCCTTTTCTGCTTGGCAAATCAATGTGCTTGTTTATAGTAATAACTCTCCTGTATGTGGAGGCGTTAAAATGCTTAGCTCAGTACACGATCAATAAAACGTTTTCTGAAATGAAGTTTAGTGTGAAATCTTAAACTTACAAAATCCTTTTAAACTGCGGGAAAAATTATTACACACGATAGTCAATAGAAATCAGAAACTTTGAGTTTCCAAACACTGAAACAGATGACAACTCCTATTTTTGTAGGGGTCATTTTGTAGAATGTAGGACAGGAACTTGAAAGTTAGATGCACATGGACAAGGATTTATAATCCTTGTTTAAGTGGGAAGGTCTATTAACAGGACAGATACAGTAAAAGTTAAAACCAGAACAGTTATTTTTGATAAGTCTTTACCTGTAACCTTTGTTTTAACCAACATACTGTTAAAATTTAAACTGTGTATTAAAGAACAGGGTATTTTCCTACATTATTTGTAAAAAAATTAAAATAAAAAATTAATAAAGTAAAAAAAAATCTGCCAGGACAGTTAAATTTTAAGAAAAAAATGACTGAAATTGCAGAGAAAAATTTACTTACAATTGAAATGATTTCTCCAAAACAACTGTCTAGCATAATATTTTTGTTCGATTATAAAGTTTAAGGAATAATTATTCCAAAAATCTATAATTCAATATTTATTTCGTCTTACAAAGGTAAAAAAATCTGCCAGGACAGTAGCCTGTTACGCAAGAATTCTTTTTGAAATTAGCTCAAAATCAAAATATAAAGTGAAATATCTTCTTCAAAATGGATGTCTGGTACGCAAATTTTGGTTCATTGGAAAGATTTAAATATAAGCTTTAAGAAAATAAAAACAAATATGAACTTTTATTTCATTAACACAAAAAAAATCTGCCAGGACAGTAGCCTTTTGTGTCAGAAATTTTGTTGAAATTCGCTCAAAATCAATGGATCAATTTGAATATTTTCTTCAAAATGCATGTCTGGTAAACAAATTTGTGTTCATTGGAAAGTTTGAATTATCAGCTTTATGAAAATATAAAATTTTATGTACTTTAATTTTGTAAACATAAATAAAAAATCTGCCAGGACAGTAGCCAACTGTGTTAGATGTTTGTATAGATGGCGGAAATCAACGTAATATTTTTTAATTATAAAAGAAATCCTATCTTTATTACCATTGTCTGGCAAACTTTTTTTTTTATCTTATAACGTTAGGACCAAATCATTAAACAAAATCTATGAATTTATTTTTTAATCATTTCTCTAGGTAAAACAAATCTGCCAGGACAGTACCTTATTACATCGGAACTAGTGAAGAAATTTGTTTCAAATTTAAAAGTAATTTTCATAGAATGATTTTTTTCATTTCATTCAAAGTTTGCAGTTTAAGCTTTATCAGTGTTAAAATAATTAAAGTGACTATATTCATGATATTTAGAAAACAAAATTATTGGTGTGTTCATTTTAAAAAATATTTACTAATTTTGTAATTGTTGATTAATTTGATCTCTTTTCAGTTTATTAAAGGCAGCAAACAGGACATTGAAGGGGCATGGGCTCATATTTTATCAATCGAAAACATTTCATACACATACATATGTATATGTAAGAGAATGACAAAAACACAAATGTTTAAAACTGCAAAATCTTTTTTTTTCATAACGGAAGTAAAATCTTAACAAATTAAGTCAGGTAAATAACGTTTTGACAGTAATAAAAACTGTAAAGTCAATGATTGGTGTTAAATCCTTCAAAAGGTATTAATTCACTAATTAGAAATGTGTTTAGGTCACAGGAATGTGACACCTTCTTTTATCCCAGTACACGAAACGGGTTTCCAAATGTTGCATTTCTTAACTCCTTTCTGCCATTCACACCCTAATATGTCTTCTTCTGAATCACATTTGCCACACTCACAATTACATTCCACCACACTAGTTTTATATTTCGGTTTACCTTTCATGATAATTTTTTTCTTTGGAAATGGAATAAATCCACCTTTTTCTAAACAAATCACAAGATGTTCTCTAAAAAGTTCAATGTCAAATTCTACATGTATCCCACCTGAAAAACTTGTAAAACAAAATTCTTCAGCATTTGCAATTGCAAACAACCCACAATCTATGGAATTAGTTTGTTTCTGGACTTCTGGTATTTTGACCAACCGACGTTTTCTATCATGTGAATATATTTGTGAAAGTTGTATTTCTGCAGATGTTGTTAGTGTGCTGTACATGAACTTTATCGATTGTTTGTTTAAAGACGTGACCCAGTGTGAATGCCCTGTATGATGAATTTGTACAGCTTGGCCCTGTGTAGGTGTAAAACTACATTCTTTGATGCTTTCTGTAAAATTGAGATCTAATCAATTTTTACTTTTAAATATACAATCAGATAGTGTTTCGATTTTTTTTTTCCAATTGTATTCTTAATAAATATCTTCTCATAGGTATTCATTACCACACGCTTGGTTTACGGTTAACATAACAGAATACACAAATACACAGATTCGTTGACTGGTTGTAAAGTTTGGCACATGCCAACCAAATATTTAGCTTTAGGACGACTTTTGAAATATTGATCTATTATCAAATGAACATTTTTATACGACCGCAAAATAATTTGCGATCGTATATTGGTATTACGTTGGCGTCGTCGTCGTCGTCGTCCTAAGACACATTGGTTTTCGCACTCTAACTTTAGTTTAAGTGAATGGATCTCTATGAAATTTTACCATAAGGTTCAATACCACAAAAGGAAGGTTGGGATTGATTTTGGGGGTTATGGTACCAACAGTTAAGGAAAAAGGGGCCAAAAATAAGCATTTTTGTAACTTCCAGACATAACTTGTGTGTTAGTGTATGGATCTCTCTGACATTGTACCACAAGGTTCCATATCACAAAGGGAATGCTGGGATTGATTTTGGGGGTAATTGCCTCAAAATTTTAGGAATTACGGGCCCAAAAAGGGGCAAAAAACAAGCATTTTTATATGGACAAATACTTTAGTACAAAACATAATATAAAGCAGTCTAAGGGAGATAAATCAAATACATCATTTGAATTATCTCCCTTACACTGCTTTTAAATTATGTATAAAGTAATGGTTAATGAACAATTAAGACAATTTAAAACAGTGTAAGAGAGGTAATCCACATACAACATTTTGATTACTTCCCTTACACTGCCTTTAAATTATGTTTAAAGAAATGCATATTTATAAAGGAAGACCAGTAAAAATATCTGCAAATGTTGCATCTTTTTTTTTTGTACAAAAACATCCATATGAAAGATTTGACACCATATTTTAAATTCTATTATAAAATAGATTAAGTTAGCACTATGGTAAATTTAAATGGGTAATTATGGTTGCAAATTCCATTGGAAATTTGAATTGAGATTATGACCATATCTTGAGGGAAAGAATTTTTTTGGGGAAAAAAGGGGGGGGGGGGGGGTTAAAAAGAAATTGTGGGGGGTCAATTTTTCTCATTTCAGATTTCAGAAATAAAAAAGGAATTATTCTTCAAATATTATTTTTTTTTCAAATTTCAAATATTGAAAAATTTCAAGAAGTAATCTTTAATTGCACAGTGGCGCATTAGATTTGTAAAATCTTTGACCACATTTATTTATTTGTTATGCCAAATCTGACCGTGTATTTAGATTATTAATTTTGGGTCCAGTTTTCAAATTGGTCTACATTAAGGTCCAAAGGGTCCAAAATTAAACTTAGTTTGATTTTAACAAAAAAGAATATATGGGGTTCTTTGATATGCTGAATCCAAACATGTATTTAGATTTTTGATTTCGGGCCCAGTTTTCAAGTTGGTCCAAATTGGGGTCCAAAATTAAACTTTGTTTGATTTCAACAAAAAATGAATATATGGGGTTCTTTGATATGCTGAATCTAACCATGTATTTATATTTTTTATTTGTGGGCCCCGCTATCAAATTGGTTCATATTGAGGTCAAAAGGGTCCAAAATTAAACTTTGTTTTATTTCATCAAAAATTGAATTATTGGGGTTCTTTGATATGCCAAATCTAACCGTGTATTTAGATTTTAAATTTTGGGTCCCGTTTTTTAAATTGGTCTACATTAAGGTCCAAAGGGTCCAAAATTAAACTTAGTTTGATTTTAACAAAAATTGAATTCTTGGGGTTCTTTGATATGCTGAATCTAAACATGTGTTTAGATTTTTTATTATGGGCCCAGTTTTCAAGTTTGTCCAAGTTGGGGTCCAAAATTAAACTTAGTTTGATTTTAACAAAAATTGAATATATGGGGTTCTTTGATATGCTGAATCTTAACATGTGTTTAGATTTTTGATTATGGGCCCAGTTTTTAAGTTGGTCCAAGTTGGGGTCCAAAATTAAACTTCGTTTGATTTTAACAAAAATTGAACATATGGGGTTCTTTGATATGCTGAATCTAACCATGTATTTTGATTTTTGGGCCCTGTTATCAAATTGGTCCACATTGAGGTCAAAAGGGTCCAAAATTAAACTTTGAATGATTTCATCAAAAATTGAATTCTTTGGATTCTTTGATATGCTGAATCTAACCATGTATTTAGATTTGGGATATTGGACCATAATAGGTAAATTAAAAAAATTTAAGTTCTTAGACCACATTCATTCTGTGTCAGAAACCTATGCTGTGTCAAATATTTAATCACAATCCAAATTCAGAGCTGTATCAAACTTGAATGTTGTGTCCATATTTGCCCCAACTGTTCAGGGTTCGACCTCTGCGGTCGTATCAAGCTGCGCCCAGCGGAGCATTTTATTATATTTTCCTAGATTTATTGTTCAAACTTTACAACTAATAACAAAAATAATAATAATCTATTCAACTTTCTAGTTAAGAGAGGGTCTTGAGACATAACAAGGAATTGTATATTAAGTTACTGTCCTGGCAGATTTATATTTACTTTTAAAATGAAAATTGTTCAATTTCATTATTTTAATTTAATAATTGGGTCTGTTACTTTATCATGTTTATAATAGTTTCAAAATAGTATGCCAGACATTCGCAATAAAGAAACTATTTCATTTATAGTTAGAAATTGCATTGTTAATTTCCACCATTTGTACAGAAATTTAACGGAGTAGACTAGTGTCCTGGCAGATTTTTTTTTGTGTTAATGAAATAAAGGGTCCATATTTTTTAATTTTCTTAAAGCTTATATTTCAAACTTTCCAATGAACCAAAATTTGCTTACCAGACATTCATTTTGAAGAAGATATTTAACTTTATATTTTGATTTTGAGCTAATTTCAAAAAGAATTCTTACATAACAGGCTACTGTCCTGGCAGATTTTTTTTTTATGTTTACAAAATAAAAGTT